AAGTAACTAAGTTCTGTTGTTGTGGGGAACTATTGCTACCACTTAACTTAGTGAGTAAATATTGTACTTTTAATTTGTTATATGCATTTGAGAGTTTTCGACACTGATATTATTTTGCAGATTCAAATGATCAATTCAGCAAATAGATAAATCAATAGATACATAATGATTCATTTCAGTTTGGCCTTCACTGAGGTATGTGCTCTAATGAGTGTCTACTTTTGCATAAGTATTAACATATATCTGATGCTAATATTAACACACCTTTGAGTATTTGTACACTGTGGTATTACTACTTCTTCTTTCTCCAAACCACACAAAGTGACTTTGCGCTCAAGTCCCTGTGTTGTTTCCATCCTCACAGTCTGATAAGAACACGAGTCAAAATTTTCATGAACATTTATTCAACAACAGCATTTCAGATCAATGATCCACTTGTTTTCTTCCAGACACACAATTACCATGCTACAACATAAACGTTAAAGTTTATACTTTATGTGGGTCAAGTGTATGTACAAGCGACCTGAACCATTAAACCATTCCTTGCTAGATTTAATGGTTACATTACAACACCGTACCAGTAAAATTAAAGCCAATCATCATTTGAAACATGACAAAGTATGAAATAAATAAAATCCCAAAAGAATGCATCATATAACCATTTCACTATAATTACACTATATACTATGTTGTCTTTTTATTGAGTCATGTCCTGATCATTGATCCATTATAGTTTGTTTTTTTTAAACACACAGTGCATTCAACTTAGAACATTTACAGTAGCATTTTTCAGTATCTCAATGAAAAAGCCATGACAGGAACATCTATGTTTCATCAAAGGTTACAGGAAACATCATACAAGGGCCACAGAGGTCAACATCCATACCGTTAATAGCAGAGGGTGGGCAACAGGAGCTCACCAAGTGTAAACCATTAAAACACATTGTTAGCGGTTATGAAACGGACAAAGATGTTCATGGCAATTTATGGAAACTTGTAATGTGCTGCAATATGTGCAAATTCAGTAGTATGAAAAAATCTAGAGTCATTTTACTGAGCTGCCTGTAGCACTGGCTCACAGATGATATGATTTACAAGATGGGTTCAAAAATGCCAAACATCACAGCATTGGACAAAATATCAGAATCATCGGACTTCAGCTCAAAACACAAGGACTAAAAACAAGATGGGATCAATATTTCCGCCGACCTAAAATATCCCCAAGTCAATATTCTGTACTCAGCTTTATTTCCCGCTTTATAATAACATGTTCCTATTTTCACGTAACCTTAACGACTTATTATCGTTAAGACAGCTCAGAGTAAAAACATGTCACCCGCTGAACGGGGGCGGCTGCTGATAGTGATCTGTTATTTCTAACATGTGATCAGTCCGATGGATTATCTGCACAAAATCAATCAAATAAAAAGAAAACTGCCACTATTAGATGAAGTCTATCAGCCTCCATGAGGGACGGGGGTGGGGGGGGATAGGCAGCAGCAGCTCAGGATATGATCCCAACAACTGAGACGCTTTACCAGAGCAGGTAAAAATTTTTAAATTTAAATGTATCCTCTAATTTAAAAGTTAAATTATTAAAAATGTTCATTATCAATGTTTTTCCTATGAGCTCCATCCAATGTCACCAATTTAACAAACCACATGTAACTGCTGATGTGTCAACAAGTTAACAATGATCAATCTAACAGAACAGGATACAAATTAGAAATCAATATCACATTTACCTTGATAATAAATATCAGAACAACCTGTTCAGTGCTGTAGGAAAGACAGGAAGTCATCAATGTCCTGCAAGGATGGGCTGAAATGAAGCTGCGACGGGTGAAGAAAACAGCCGATAATCGATAAATAACTTAAGTAGAAATGTTGCTTCAGGAAAAGAATCTGTCTGCAAATAAAGCTTCAAACCTCATGGTTGAAAACATTCAGGGGAGCAGACGACACACACACACACACACACACACACA